ACAGAAAAGGACAGAGGCAAAGACTGACAGCATTAGTCTTTTAACACCTCTCTGCTTGCACTGGCCTTCCTGAAAATCAGACTACTGGAGCAATCAGGGTGACTGGCATCCCAGAGCAGCATGGCTGCAAGCAAGCACAGTCATGCTGACAGGAGACAAGGCCTGGGCCACCTGCCCTCTGTGCCATCGATAGCCTTATGGACAGGAATCCTTTCCTTTGTGTGCTGGCAAGGTGATGCCACATAAGGACATGCAAGATCTGAAGTAGGGCATTGGATGAATGATGAACTGTGCTAAGCCATTTGCTTTACATTATTGTACCACAAAACTATCTGCCTGTCTGTTTGTATATCCAGTCTATCATAGAAACATAGAATATCCTGAGTTGGAAAGGACCCACAAGGATCACTGAAGTCCAACTCCTGGCCCTGCAGAGGACAGCCCCAAGAATCACACCATGTGCCTGAGAACATTGTCCAAATCTTTCTTGAACTCTGACAGACTTGGTGCTGTGACCTTGATGCTTCTCCTTTATCAGATGGCTATGCCTTTTTCTTCTGTTGTGAAAAAATTTGCTGGTGAATTACACTGAAGACAACCCATCATACAAGAGAGAAGGGAGAAATTTAAGAGATCAGTTCTAGAACGTTGAAAATAGACCTCTTATCAGAAAAAGAAGTTCACTAAAGAATTTCACTGTGTCTCAGAAACCATTTCCCTTCTCAGACCAGTTCTGCCGGATGCACGAGAATGAGCTATAAAGGATAGAATCTATCATAGAATCACAGAATGGTTTGTGTTGGAAGGGACCTCAAAGTTCCAGCCTCCCTGCCATGGGCGGGGACACATTTCACTAGACCAGGTTGCTCAGAGCCCCATCCAACTTGGCCTTGAACACTTCCCAGCTTCTCTGGGCAACCTGTTCCAGTGCCTCACCGCCCTCACAGTAAAGAATTTCTTCCTAACATCTAATCTAAACCTACTCTCAGCTTGAAGCCATTCCAACTTTTCCTGTTACTACATGCCCTTGTAAATAGTCTCCATGTTTCTTATAGACAGCTTTCAGGTACTAGAAGGCTGCAATTAGGTCACCCCAAAGTCTTCTCTTTTCCAGACTGAACAATCCCAATTCCCTCAGCACTTCCTCACAGGAGTGCTCCATTCCTCTAATCACATTGGTGTCTCTCTCTTTGTACTCGCTCTAACAGCTTGATATCCTTCCTATGCTGGGGACCCCAGATCTGGATGCAGCACTGCGGGTGGAGTCTCAAATAAATGTGTTAAGGTTTGATATGTTTTGATTGCCAAGCTCCTTGATTAACTATTGCAGGTATATACTTGCTGCCTAATTTCTATTTCCTTCACTTCCTCAAAGATCCTGACAGGGAATGCAGTTTTCTACATGGTGCTTCTTTCTTGAGCATTTGCAGTTTCTGACAGAAAAATTTTCTGGTAATTGTCCCTTGGTTTCACACTTTCACAGATAGCTTTGCTTTTCCTCTTCCTCTTCTCTACGTACATTTTTCCCTTTTTTCCAGTTTGATTGCTGCAGTCTATCCATCCTTCCTTTCCGTACCTACTAAAAAGCCAAACCATGTTGTTGCTTGTCTTTGTGAAGCTTTGAACTGTAAAGCGGTACAGTTCTTATAAAGTATTTGTAATCCAGGAGAAAATGCAAACCTCAGGTGGCTGTAGGTTTTATTCTCTTTTCTATTCTTTTACAGAAATTAACTAAAAACCTCCAACATTTAGTAAGCAGGGCTTTCTATTCTCCGTTTCCTTTTCTGTTTCTGTATTTCTCTATTTCTTTCTATTCTCATGTTCCTGTAAGTCTTTTCATATTTCAACCGTATTGAGCTACCTTCTCTTCTCCCCATGTATACTTTATTGTTATATGTTTTCGCTGTGCTTCTGATTTGGGCTTTTAATGTTATTATTATTTTTAAACTAAGGTTAGTCATGTTTCTTTGGTGTAATTACTACAGAGACATACAGAACTGTTGTCTGTCTAGTGTGACTTGGATTGTTTGCCCAGACTGAGGATAAGATCTTCATGGGAAAATAGTTCTGCTTGGTTGGGCTCCTGTGTGAATACTGTTCTTCTGACTAAGTGGGCCCTGTTGTATTAAGGTTTTTATGCTTAAAAAAACTAAGCACCCTTCTTATTTTCCTGAAAGCTGTTTTATCTCATAATGGTGAAGGGGACCACACACATGCTCTCATACGTGTCCTGGGATTTCCAGACAGCATCTGTTACACTGAAGTTTGACCTTTATTCTGGAGTAAAAAGTAAAGTGAAACTTCCAATGTGACTGGTGTTTGAAGAAATAAAACTGTCAGGAATGCAAATGTCACTGCTTATTGAGTCTCCATGCACCCTAACAGGAGCTCCTGCAGGAGCCTGCACGGCTGGTGCACAAGCTTCTGAGCTCTCCCACTCTGCTGTTATGGTTGGTAAATTTGAAAGTAAATACAAACATGGGAAAAGATACGATGCTTCTAGAGTTAATGACATCTTTCCAAAATCACTTAATTCTGTGCTAGGCAGAGTTTCATTTCCATTAGTAAATGCTTTGATGCCTAGAGATGAAATGCAGTGTTGCCTTCTCTGTTAAGCATTTGGGAGGTGGTATTAAGCAGCTGTTGATAATGTGTTGGTAATGTACACTTTGTGCTGAGGGCTTTCCAAACATGCAAATCTGTTTGCTTCTCATGGAGAACACAGGCAGAAGAGTATGTATGGAGGAGGGAAATCAGAAATTGTTAAGCAAGTTTTTTGCCACCTCACATGGCTTTCTGTGGAAATAACACAATTGTCACCCCTTTAGTGTTGCATTAAACCACTCCTTTATTTTAAAGTTCTTTAAAACAAATCTTGCGGTGAAATCAGATTTTGCCAATTCTAGTCATATTCTACTGATAGAAAAATCTTTCAGCTTGATAATGTTGCTCTGTTTTCTGTATTTCATCACTGGCAACTTCCAAATTATTGCATTCCATTTAAATTCCTTGTTACCCCATTCAGCTGATGTTAAGTTCTGTCTCCCTTCTTACCTGGCTGTGTTGCATTTTTACTTGTATTGGTTATGACAGGCCTTAGTGGAAAACTGCAGCACTGCAAAGAGCAGTTACTCTACCTCATTGCTATAACCATTTCTGAGTTTCTGTAAGCAGGAGCAAGTTTCATTTTTAAAAGCTGAAGAGAAAATTATTTGTAACTCGTTTTTGTCTTCGAGTGTCTCCCCTGCATTCACTATCTGCTAATCCTTTTGGGTTTTTAAAAGTCTTCTGTATTCTGGAAAGGAAAACCAATCACAGGTCAGATTAATACTTTGTCTTGTTCCAGGTCACCACTTTGGTAATAGTTTATATCAGAGTGCAAGGCAGTGCAATATATTTTGCAGTAAAACACGGGGAACCCTGTGGAAACACAGCCCTATGGGAAACTTATATTGAATGCTATTAGTTCGATGTTGGTGTATCTGTTAGTGTGGGTCTTACCGACTACCATGGGGGTGTAGTGGATATGTGAATCTTATCCACTGCCATCATATAAATTCTTTTAATAATTAGCCTCCTGATTTGATTGTTTTTCTTAATGAGTTTCACTGAATTGTCACAGTTCTCTGTAAAACATTTCTTTAGCTGTCTGTTCTTTTTACAGTGACATCAAACATTCCCCTTTTTTGTAGTTTAGTTGTTTTGCTGTTGCATCTGGCTGTTTTAATGGTTACCCTGGTGTTTTGTGATCTGTGGAGGCCAGGCATGCAGGTCTTCGTATTCTGCCTTCTCAAACTATTTAGTGAAGAAACATAAGAATTATGGATCAAAAGAAAAAAGTGTGTCCTGAGGAATAGTAGGTGCTTTTTTTTTCTAAACTAATCTTTATCTAACCAGGAAAAAGCAAAAGAGAAACTTTTGCTCTTGTAAGTTTGTGAGGAGGGCAGGGAGCTGGGTGTGCTTGGTTGTATGTACAGGCAGAGCAAGCATGGTTCTTATTTGTTTACTAATTGGCTGTACAGATATTAAAGATTATTGGAAACTCAAAGGTCAGAGTTTTTGCTGAATCAAGGTCAGTGTAAGTTGGAAAGCTACAGGAGAGAGTATTGCATATCTGGGACACAGCTGATGTGAAGGAGCTGCCTTTAGAGGCTGTCCAACAGGTACAGTAAAATTAGGTTTTTACCCTCGACACTATTCTAGTCTGTGCCTTTCCTTGGGGTTTCAGTGACTGTGGGATGCTCTCCCTGGCAGGATGCTCAGTGTGTGTGTGTACAGACACAAAAGTTTCCTGAGCTTCAGTTAGCTTCTCACAGTACCCCCATCTGTGTGATCGCTAGCCAGGTGGAGGGGTGGAGGTGGAGGAGGGTGTAACTCCATCCTTCGGTGCTTTGTTTTTGTTTCGCAGTATGTGTAATGGTCCTGACTCTTGTAAAGGCTTTGGCAATAAACTACACAGACTTTGTCACGCCACTGAAGTTTTAGGGAAGTGATCTAGCTGCGACCAAGACAAAAGACGGTAACATCTTACAGCTTGCTTTGTTGGCTGTTTCAAAGACAATGATACTAATGAACAGGTGTGAGAAATCCCATTAGGATTGTGCTGGTGTTTCCAGATCTCTCAGCTCATACTGCATTTGCTTGTTCTGTGAACTTTTTTTTCTTTGTGGTTCTTAATGCAGGTTCCTTGTTTGTTGGTTGGGGTTTTTTTCCCCTGCACTTGTCATTTCTCATCTTGCCCCGTTCTTTCTCAGTCTTGCACAACTGAGATTACTGCAGTGCAACCCGACGTCATCTCTAGTCAGTGCCAACAAGGCTATTGTCATGGCCTCAATCTGTCCTCATGCCATGTTTAGTGTAATGTAATCATTACCTTGGTTGTGGAGAGCGAACCTGCTCCTGTTAAGTAAATGTTTACCAACATTGCCGAAGGCTAACATTAGGGAAGAGAGAGAGAGAAACATTGTTTAAAGTCTTGTCTCTTTTTCATTTTAAAACAGAACCTTGTTCCTGAGTGAAGCAGCTGATGACTATTTTTCCTTCACCAGACTGTGATCAGAGGTAAGTGCAGAATCTTTTGCATTTTTATGGGCTGACATATCCAGGTTTGGTAAGAGGAAGAGCTTAAGTCCTTTTGAGTGGTCTCGTGTCAAAATAAGAGGCAAGGAATTCGGTAGGAGGAGGAGGCTAGACTTTTATGCTGCAGTGTGAAGTTGCACTCCTCCTTCCTCTCTTTAGAAAGGTTTGCGGAGGAAGCAATTTCGAGTGTCTTGTCTTAGTTGCACAGCTGTCAGCATGAAGTGGCAGATGAGTTAATTTGGATCAGAAAGGAATTTCTGATGCAGTTCTGGAATGTGATAGGACCGAGTGGTTGCCTAGTGCTAAATACTGCCTTATTTAAAGGGAGTTGTTACTTCCATAGCTTGTGGGCAAATTTCAGGGAAACGTTGTTCAGTATCCATTAACTCTACCTTTAAAAAGGAATGGGAAGGATGTGGGCTAAAAAGCTTTTAAAGTTTCAAATTTTGCATTTCACAGAATCTCTGACCCGTGCATAACAGCTGTAAGATCCCTTTGGGAATGACTATATTTACGTTGCTCCCAGCATACTGGAACTGCATTCATGACTTATACCCACAGGAAATATCATAAATGTAATTAAAAATTAAAAATAGAAATACTGGATTGGTTTAAACTCTGTGCTGAAGAAAGGGAGTCCTGGGGGTTGTTTTGCCCTAAGTTCTGTCTGGATGAATAGTGAAGGAAGGTAATTCTCTGAGTTTTAGTGCATATGTTGAATACTGCGCTCTAATGTAGCAAAAAGAGCTGTGTTCTGTCAAGATGCAGAGATTCAGGCTCCTGTGACATTTGTGATTTTGAAGTGCCACTATGCTTGCAAAAATGCCAATCCTATCTTAGGAGTGGAAGTTCCCACAGTCAGTGCAGTAGAAGAGGGATGATGTGGTCCAGTGGAAGGTTCTTTGCTTGGAAACAACAGAGATGATTTGGTTCTGTGTGTGTGCTGAACAAGTCTGGTTGAAATACTTTCTCGTGTCTTAGGAGTGTTCACGGGTATATGGATTTCTCAGATTGCTTTGTATTAGCAGGCTGTTACGGCTTCAGCTGTGCAGAAAATCAGAGGGCAGAAAAGGGAGGATAGAACGGCTCCTGACTTATGCAAGTACACTGGGTTTGGGAAAAGGAGACTGCGGGAGCTCGTGCTTAGTGTTGAGTTCCAGTGTACAGAAGCTGAGGTGGTGAGGAAAGGTGGACATGATGAAATGAGGACTTTGGGCCTTACACATGCTACAACTCTGAACTCCTCTGTTTGTCAACCAGAAGTTGAACTCTAACCCTATTTGTCCTGCAAAGGCTTTGATACTGTTTCCCAAATGAAAGATTTCTCCTGGGACTGATCTATGCACAACTCCTCTATACTTGCTTTTGGCAGCCCCTTCCCAGCCCCACTCACACTGCAGCTTCGTGCTTTCAACCCTAACCCTGAGTTGTCTGGAGACACATGGACAGAAGTCCTTAGGCATTGGGTGGATAAAAGGATTTTGGAGGGTAGGAAAAAAAGATGTGTAGTTGGTGTGCCACCATAGCTCATTCCAGTGTGATCCAAATAATAAATCTTGTCTTCTGTAAACTTTTTATCAGTTTTGCAGCTGAGATTTACAGAGACTAGTAAAGGAGCAAAAATACCTTGAAATGCTTTATACAGGTTTTTGTGCTTGTGAAGAGGAAAGTAGTGGTAGAAGAATCTAGGGCTACTTCTGCAAACCCCAGTATAAGCAGAATAAACAAAAATTTGTGATGGAGTAGAATGAGCATAATAACCACATTAGTATTCTCTTCAGCTTGAATAGTGGTGTAATTCCAGAGACATTTGGTGTAATCGTCACATGTGAAGTCGATAAATATTTAGAATAAGCAAAAGGGTGAAAATATTAATGGTATGCTTCATATATTCTGTTAATGTCAATGTGTATGCGACATCATGGGTAGAAGAGCAAAGGGAGAACAATGATTGATTTCTGGTACAGGCTCAGTAAATTGCTACTGCACCTTTGATTTCATTGAAATCATAGGAAATGGGGAAAGACAGCAAAACCTTGAAATGATGGCAGATGGAAAGGGGACCATGCAGTTAGAATATATGGTCAGGCAGTCCATGCAGAACTCATTTCTTTAGATGAAAATAGAGTTATTAGAAACTTTGTTATTGTTACTAATTTGAAAGTGGAATTTCAGGCTTTCCTTGTGCTGACACATGATTAGTTCATCCTTAGCAATACTTATTCATTTCTTAGTAATGTTTTAATGTTTCCTGCCTATGCCAGCAATGTCCCACAGCTAAGTTACAGAGAAAGTAAGAGAGTGAGCCACAAAATTCCTGTAGCTTACTTTTCAAGAAACCTTCATTTTCCTAAAAGCCATTATTTTCCTGTGAGATATCTCAACTCTGTTCAGTTGTAGCAGAAGTAGAGGGACAAATAAGTCCTTTCCTCTTTCATTATGTTTTATCTTTTCCTGGTTCCTAAATGTGTCTGTTTTGTCAGTTAGTTCCAGTAAGGATTTGTTCACTGGGTATTTCTTTGCAATCACCCGTTCTTCATCTCCCTGTCTGGAGCAGGTTACAGGAACCAATTCCTCTGAAATTTGTAGAGTTGACCTAATCATTTCAGTGAGGTTCTGTCATTGAAACATCTCTAGAAGTAAGTTAATCTGCCTTCATGGCATTATGCCACATTTATGCAACAGAGATGAATTCTATTGCTTGGACAGGATTTGGTCTTAAACATTTTAATTAGTTTATTGGATTGAAGTTCAGGAGAACTGGCCCATTAGTGGTGGATTTTTGCCAGTTACTATTTACATCATTTTTAAGGATTGGCTGTTGCTGAATATGGGCCCACTGAGTATTAAAAGATGAGTACAAAAATGAAATAGCTGTCTGAAATTGTAGGCACTACTAAGTGTAAAGATGATGTAAGTATAGCAACACCTAGTAACCTCGTTATCCTTTCTTCCATGTAAGCTTACTTCGTCCCCAAGTGGGCTTTGGAGATCTTCTGTGGGATGAGAAATGTGAGCACAGCCGAACAGAGACAAAAAATTAATTACAAAGCAGAAGGGCATGACTTGGGGTGCTTGGCAGGGACATGTTCCTCTCTTCTGAATATATCATCTGTTTGTCAATTGAGTAGTTGAACTCTGACCCTTTTCTGACCCTTCTCACCATGCATTTTAAATGAGTACAATATTATGGTTGGGGAGTGGTGCGTTAAAAACGTCAAGAGCTTTTCCCCTACCTTAATGTGGAAGATGAACAGTAACATGTTATCATTAGGTTTTCTCCTATAAATTCAAACACATTCTTCCTTTCTTTCACCTTCTTCCACAAAGTGATTAATATGCTTATATATTACAAAACTCTGTTAGTCTCTCAGATTGTATTTACTGTATCTGGCATCAAATCTGTTGATCCAAGGTCCTCACCAAACCGCCAGGGTTTGTCTGAAGGCCATGCTTAAAGTCTTCAGAAATCAACTTAGGTTGTGATTATGGACAACTTGGAGGGCTTCCCAGAAAAGACCTGTACAGTTGACAGAAGAGATGAATATTGTTTCTGTTGATTTTTAAATCTGTTCCTGCAGCCTCCTTGTCAGGGCACAGCAAGGGCTGGGAGCTGAGGCAAGTCAGGAGGCAAGGGGTGACCCCAGAGCAGCAGTGCCATCGCTGATGGGGCAGGGTTGCCCAGGGTGTGAGTGTGGCAGGCAGAGCTGGATGCTGGTAACAGGGACTTTTGACAGTCCCAAGCAAGATGGAGCAGTGAGAGTCCACCCAGGGGACAGGGCCAAAGACAGAACTGGGTACAAGCTGTAGCATATATGTGAGGGGTCTTTCCGGAAGACAGGCTGCCTTACAGCCTGATCAATCCTGGAGGTGAGACCAGAGGCTACAGACAGGTATATCTGCAGCAAAGTTCAAGCAAAGAGCAGGGGGCCAGGCCCAGGCTGAAATCAGGATGCAGTGGAGGTGAACAGAGGTCCCACTTGAGACTGGTCTGTGCCTTCAAGGGCTGATGGTGCCCTCAGGGTCCTGACACTCCAGGTCCTTAATGGGACAGATCAAAGGTTGCTTGCTTCCTGTCCTGTCATCTCACACAAGTTTTAATGATGTAACTGGTACCAATAACAAAGCACCTTTGTTTTATTGGAGAGGAAGAAAAGGGTTTTCCCTCACATACTTATTCTGGCCTCAGAAATAGTTGTCTCCCTCACATAGGCGTGTGTTTTGTCCGGAGTCATCATGAAGATCCAAGTAAACACATTGTAGTATAGCTTAATAAATGAGAGATATCAGAGAGGATTATCAGTGTCTTGGTGCATGAAGTCAGAATTTCAGTATAGTTCTGTTGTCAGATTTGCTTGGACAGTGGGATTTTGCTCTTTTTTTGTTTAATGTTTCAAGATTGGGTTATTTGCAAACTAAGGCCACTTAGTTGAAACATATTTGCCTTGATATCATATACCCTTTTAAGCTACTGATGCAAAGCGTAGCAAGAGGTTTGGGTCTAACCAACATCCTGAAAATAATGCCATTACAAAATAGGACCCTGGTGAGAAGGAAATACTGCAAATATTTTTATAGCAATCACCATTTTTCTTAAGATATGGAGACTCTAAAAGGTACCTCTCTTTCTCTGAATAGTTGCTTCTGATTTTCAGATGAATTTTCCAGATTATGGATATTAGAAGTAGAGGAAAGACACTAGCTGGTCCAGAAGTACTGCAGTAAGCACATGATTTCAGCCAGTGACAGAAGAGAGACTTTTATCTGAATCATAACTAGGCATTTTGAGGAGTTTTTTTGTTCATTTTTCTGGACATTACCCAAACAAAAATTACTTTTAAAGTCTATTTTAATTCACAGATCTACAAAACTTGCCTAACAGAGGTGTTGACACCTTTACAATGAACTAAAACTTCCGAGGATTGGATTGATTTTGTTGGTAACTGTTTCTTACACCATGCAGAAGTAGTTTGCTGATCCTG